ACTCCTCCAACTCTTCAATGAAGTTGAAAGTGAAAGTGCACTACCAAACTCTGTGAAGCCATAATAAGCCTCATCTCAAAACCAGGCAGGGACTCATCAAAGAAAGATAACTATAGACCCATTTCTTTGATGAGCTTTGATGCAAAACTTCTCAACAAAATTTTGGCCAATCGACTTCAACAGCTCATCACAAAAATCATATATCATGATCAAACAGGATTCATTTCAGGATGCAAAGCTGGTTCAATATATGCAAATCAATCAATATAATTTATCACATCAACAAGAGCAAGGATAAGAACCACATGATTATCTCAATAGATGCAGAAAAAGCATTTGACAAGATCCAACACCCCTTTATAATGAGAACTGTGGAAAAACTAGGAATCCATGGAACATTCCTCAATATTATACAGGCTGTGTATGATAAACTTACAGCCAGTGTTATACTTAATGGTGAAAAGCTAAAGCCACTTTCTCTAAAATCAGGAATGAGACAAGGATGCCCACTGTCTCCACTTCTCTTCAATTTAGTGTTAGAATGCCTAGCAAGAGCAATAAGACAGGATGCAAACATAAAGGGGATCCAAATAGGGAACGATGAAGTAAAACTCTCCCTCTTTGCAGATGATATGATCTTGTATTTAAAGTAACCCATGGATTCCACTCCCAAGTTACTTGAGCTGATCTGAAACTTTGGCAAAGTAGCAGGGTATAAAATTAACCCTTAAAAATCAATGGCTTTTCTGAATGCTAATAACGAGAAGAGCATGGCTAAAATCGGGAGAGCAACCCCCTTTGTAATAGCCCTACAAAAAATAAAATACCTAGGAGTTAACTAAAGAAGTGAAGGACCTCTATGAAGAAAACTTTAAAAACCTGAAAAAGGAAATTAAAGCAGAACTAAGGAAGTGGGAAAACTCCCAAGCTCCTGGATAGGGAGGATTAACATCATGAAAATGGAAATACTACCAAATGCTATCTACAAATGACTGCAATACCTATCAATATCCCAACCTCATTCTTCAATGAAATAGAAGAAGCAACCTAAAAATTCATATGGAACAATAAAAGACTCCAAATAGCAAAAACAGAAACAACAGTGCTGGAAGAATATAAATACCAAATTTCAAACTCTATTACAAAGCCATAACACTCAAAACAGCTTGGTACTGGCACAAAAACTGACCTGAGGACCAATGGAATAGAACTGAACACCCAGAAAGGAACCCACAGACCTATAGCCACCTAATGTTCAACAAGGGAGGTAAAAAAATAGAATGGAAGAAAGACAGCCTCTTCAGTAAATGGTGCTGGGAAAATTGGTTAAATGCTTATAGAAAACTAAAGCTATATCCTTATATATCACCCTACACCAGAATCAACTCCAAATGGATCAAACACCTCACAGTCAAAGCAGACACCCTGAAAACATTACAGGAAGGAATAGCAGAAACTCTAGAGCTCCTCAGCACAGGCCACAATTTTCTTAATAAAGACCCAGAAACTACAAATCAAAGAAAGGTTGGAGAAATGGGATTGCATGAAATTGCAGAGCTTCTGCATGGCAAAGGACATAGCTAATAAGATCAATAGAAAACCCACAGATTGGGAAATCTTCACTAGTCATTCAATGGACAACGGTCTCAAATCAAAAATATACTTAGAACTCAAAAATTAAATTCCCCAACAAAAAATCCTCACAAAAACAACCACCTGATTAATAAGTGGGCTAAAGACTTAAAGAAAGATTTCTCTGAAGAGGAAATAAGTATGGCCAATAGACACATGAAGAAATGCTCAACTTCTCTAGACACAAAAGGAATTCAAATCAAGACAACAGTGAGATTCTACCTCACTCCAGTTTGAATGCCTATAATGAAGAAATGTAATAACAATAGATGCTGGAGGGGATGTGGACAGATGGGAACCCTACTGCATTGTTAGTGGGAATGTAAACTTGTTCAACCACTTTGGAAAGCATTATGGAGGTTCCTCAAAATACTCCACATAGAGCTCCCCTGTGACCCAGCAATCCCACTTTTGGGCATTTACCCAAACGATCACAAACAAGGCCATACTAAATCTACCAGCACAACTACATTTACTGCAGCATTACTCACCATAGCTAAGGTATGGAACCAACCCAGATGCCCCTCCGTAGATGAATGGATCAAGAAAATGTGTCTCTCTCTCTCTCTCTCTCACACACACACACACACACACACAAAATGGAATTCTATGCCTCCATCAGAAAGAATGACACCACCCCATTTGTCAGGAAATGGAAAGAATTGGAAAAATATATATTAAGTGAAGTAAGCCAGGTGCAAAGAAACATAGGTCCCATAGTTTCCCTTATTTGCAATAGCTAATATATATGTCTAGGACAAGCAGAAAAGATAAAAAACTATGTACATATGACCATATAAGATGATGCTAAGTGAAATCAACCACAAGATAGGGACACAAGAGGTTTTATCTTTCTTGCTGTTGTTTTTAATGTACCGTGTGGGTTTTTTTTTTTGTTTCTTTTGTCTTTTCTTCTCCCATGTTTTCATTGTATTTGATTCTGGTGCCCTGCATCTTGTATATACATTTTTCTAATTTGGGGAGGGGAAGGCAAATAACAAAATGCTGAAATAAGGATACAGATGAGATGTGTAAGATATTATGTTGAAAACAATCAGCTTTGGGGGAGGAGGCAAGGGAGAAATTGGGGAGGTGGGGAGGGAAGGGATGGTAGGGGAAAATCAAAGGAGGGGGTAACAATGCTCAATAGGATATGTACTCATTATCTCACTAATGTAACTGTAACCCCTTTGTACAGTGTCTTTACAATAAAATATATATTAAAAAAAGAATTGCTATCGCAAGGAACTAAAAGAAAATGGAAAACTAGCTGTGTTTCCACTGTATGTTGGATGGCTCATACCTATAAGTCTAGTTACTCAAGAGACTGAGAACTGAGAATCTTGATATGAAGCAAGCTCAGGCAGATAAATCTTCAAGTCATTGATTTCCCAATAACCAGCAAAATACTGGAAGTGGAGGCTTGGCTCAAGAGTTAGAGCACCAACTATAAAGGAAAACATGAGCAAAAGGCAAGCATCAGTACCAGCATAAGAATAAAAATAAAAGGAAAAATGGTCTTAGATCTAACCTCACAAGGCACAACTGGTGCCCTGCCACAGAAAGAAAACCAGGGATTTCAGTGTAGAGAAGCAACCCCTCTGACAAAGTAACTGCCAGGGATGTTTATAGAAAAAAATGGAACTCAAGTATCCACATTAGTTTCTTTGTTGTAGATAACTCATATTGCCCTGTTTCTGGAACGATCAGAATCTTCCAGAACTAGAGGCTCTTACTTTCTTCTTTTCTTTTTTCTGTTTTTACAGACTTGTTATTTCTGGAAATGATTAGACTATGAGATTAGGTTCTGGTGAAGTCATTTCTTTTTTCTTAAAGGCAAGTCAGGATTCCAGGATGAATGGCTGCTGGTCTTTCTCTTTGTTCTGTCGGAAGAGTCAGCACCAAAGTCTATTTCTTTGTCCACGGAAGCAACACATTATTCTAAACAACAGCAACAAGGCTGAATTTCCCCTTTCTTTTTGTGACAAAAAAGGGCAGGCAACTTTCCAAAGCATTTGTGAATTCACAAGAGTTTCTGTGGGACATTTACACTGTCCTGAAGTTTAGGAAAGATATGTCAGTTAGAACCCATGAGAAACACTGCAGAAAACTCTAGAAATATCCAGGTATTTTTTCTTTTCTCTTTTTGTTTTACTAATCTTATTTTTTCAATGATTGATAATGGTTATCCAATCTAAAGAGAAAGGGGAGTGGACAAGTAAGATACCTAAGATAAAATAAATCTGAGTTCTAGATACACACCTCTGAGCTTCCCTTAGGCTTGATGTGTATTGTTTATAAAATAGCAAGGTATGACTGGATGCCAGGGGCTCATGACTATAATCTTAGCTACTCAGGAGGCTGAGATATGTGAATCACAGTTCAAATCCAGCCCAGGCATAAAAGTCCATGAGACTCCTTTTCCCAGTTTAAAACCAAAAAGCCAGAAGTGTAGCTATAGCTCAAATGGTAAAGCACTAGTTTTGTGCCAAAGAAGCTCAGAGACAGCTCCAAATTCAAGCCCCAAGTTCCAGCCTCAAGGTCGGCGCACACACAAAGAAATAACAAGTTATTGGTAAAATGCTCACTTTAAGAATTTATTATGGCATTGTAAAATCAAATGAACTTTGGGCATATTTGAACATACACATGGATATTGGCTTCCTGTACCTGCAATTATTGAGGCATATTTGAGGTGCTAAAACAGTTGCTTACAGCCCCCATACACACTGAAATGACTGTTGGAGTTCTCTTTGGCCCAATCAGGTCCCACTGTATCCGGAAGGTGGACATGAGTGGTCCTGCCTGGCCAAGTGCAGGGAGCCTAGGAATGCTTCTCTTCTCAAAATAGAAATGTTGGATCCGGGCGAGAGGTGGTTTGGTCCTTAAATCTAGATGTCTCCCTTTTGTGTGACATCAAGAACACCACTGTCTCTCCACTGTCCCACTGGCCTATGGGTTCTTTCCCCCCCCCCCCCCCACAGGATCGTCTCTGATTCTGAAGCCTATGACCTGTTTTTTTTTTTTGTAGTCAGAGTTTGCACAACAATGCCAGGACCTCTAGGGAGATCCAGCGTCTCAGCTTGAGGAATTCTGTACAGTGAAATCCTCATGTGCTTGGTCCCAGAGTCTCAATTGTCAGCATAGAGTAGGGCATCGCAGGCCTAGCTGATAGGCCAGTGGTTGAGAGAGGAACATGCCTGCGCTGGAGCCAGGACTCACACCATGACTTACATGGATGTACTTGGAACTTGATGGGCATTTTTATTTTCCCATCAGTCTATGCACAATGTCTTTCCTCCCTGGTGAGGGGGGGGACTTAGAAGCCTCCCCCATCCCCTCCCTACTGGTTGGTGTGGTTTCCTTCACTAGTAGTCTAAAGTTACTTTTTCCTTCTTGTTGAAGGGGTTGTAGGGTTTCACAGTGGTGACCATTCTGGATAGTGGTGCCTGGTGACGGAAGAGGTCCACTTTCATGCCTGTCCGCAAAATGCTACAACAGATAGAGGAAGAGATGACATATAATCAACATAAAAGCATATAACATCTATTCCCCAACTAGTATAAATGGATGAGTGGGGAGACATGTAGGGAGGGGGGGGGAGAGACAGAGAGATAGAGAGAGAGAGAGAGAGAATAGAGAAAGAATGTGTGTGAGAAAGAGAATAGCAGAAAGGAATGCTAAAAATGACCAACTCTGTATGCATTTAGTGTCATTGTAATACACACATTATATTGATCCTGTTTCAGTTATTGAAATTCTCTGTGCCTAGGGATGTGGTAGAGGCTAAGAAAGGAGATGAACCTAGAGATAGGAAGTCAATTGATAGAAAGTCTCTGATGGGATGGGCAACTGAGGTGCTAGGGAAACCCAGACAGTATGTCCACCTGGAGGAAAGACAGCCACATGGAGTCCTGCGTGGTCAGGCAGAGATGGCAAAGAACAAACAGGGGAAAATGTGGTGGAAAGGTGAGGGGTCTAGGGAGAAGTTGGTGGCCGAGAATGGGGGAGCTTGGGGCTGGAACTGAAGGCAACCACCAGGTGAGGGGGGGATGGAAGCAGAGGGCAAAATCTGTCCCTCTTTGTGCCAAGTTGAAGCTCTCTGCTCAAACAGAATGGGACTTAAGTTTGCTGACCTACACAGTAGGAGTAAATTTGCCATTCCAAAACTGTCATGGGGATTAAAAGAAATAACGTAACCATGAAAATATGAAGCAATATGGGTGATCTTTTACCCCTTGGGTTCTGGAACTCCTTATGTTGCTTGGAGGTGGTACTGCTCGTATTGATATCCACCAAACTGTCATGAACAAGCCCTGAAACCTCAGCCTGGTACGTTTCTGTTGTGAATGGGCCATGATTTCACTTGTGTGTTCTCAGTGTGAATTCTGGGCAAGTCATAGTTTCGGAATTAGTGTGGGGAAGAGACCTTACGCAGGTACTCTGCCCCACAGGGCTTTGTTTGATGCTGTGAGTACCATGATGTTGTGTGTGGGTATAATATACATTTGTATGAATATCTTGATTTTAAAAATGGGAGTCAAAAGCCCAGTTTCTACAGAGGTTATACTGTGGTGTGAGGGAACTGTAATGGAGAAAAGATCTGGGGAAACATTTGCACCCTTGTTCCCCTACTCAAACATTTAGAGATCCATAATATATCTTCTTCTCTGTCTCATGAACACCCCCATCTCCTCACTTTGCATCTCCTGCACCTGTCTCTTTCTTTTCTATTTTGTGTCCTAACCCAGTATGATCCTTACGGCACGATGGGGAGCCTACACCCCTGGTTGAATACTAAGGCACATTGTAGAGCCTACAACCCTGGGTGAACATGTGAGCTTGAGGTCCCTTAACACTGAAAGCCAAACCTCAGCAATCTAAGGACTCAAAGCCACCACTGCAGTCTTTCTTGAAACTGAGATCTTTGATGGCAGATGCACTGTCCCTAACCTCTGCATAAAGAAACATCAGTGCAGTTGTCAGTGCTCTGGTCCCCTGTCAGCCCACAGTCTTGTAGGCAAGAGTACCTCATGTCTCTGGTACCATCAGAATCCAGATGGGAGAAGAGGTTTGAAATAGAGGCAGGGAGCCAGGAGCAAGAGTGACTACTTCTTAAGGACATTTAGAAGTGAAAGGGAGGGAGAAAATTGAGGGAGGGGATAGCAAGTTTGACAAGAAATATACTCACTACCTTACTTATGTAACTGTCATCCCTCTATACTTCACTTTGACAATAACATTAAAAAAAGAAGTGAAAGGGAGGAACAGAAGGGCAGTTGAGTGGGGCATGGTCGGGAGAGACAATTGGATGTTTCTATAAACACAGGTTAACTGGGGGTAACTAGATACAGATGCCAAGTAAATGGGGAGAAGGCAGAACTGAATAGGATCCATGGCTCAGAGGGAAGGCTGAGTCCTTTTGTTTTGCCTGTCTTGGGGCTCGAACTCTGGGTCTAGACACTGTCCTGAGCACCTTTTTGCTCACAGCAAAGTGGTTGGGCACTAGCTTAAACTATTTTCTGAGGCTGTAGCACTGGGGAGTTATTTTTCCATTTAGAAGTAAAGATTTAGCTGAAAGATAAAAGGACATTTATTGAGTGGTTTACACATGGGATGATTGTGGAGATGTGCTAGATGTGTTAGGATATCTAGTTATTTGAGTGATAACACAAACTCTGAATAAAAAGGTGAGGAATTAGAAATGTTGTTTTTGTTAATGAAGATCTTTGAGTTATATCCTTTTAAAATCATGATCTATCCTGCCACAAGGTTCTATCCCAGTTGTTTTTTTTATAATAGAAACACTAGATGATAGATATAATGATGTATTATTTTGGGCATTTCTTCATTATGTTCTACATACATAGTATAATATGTCAATTATCTAAATGCCTACACCTTCTACTTTTGGAACTGGATTTACAGCATTTCAAAATGTGTCTTAACATGGATCAGACTACAAAATCAAAAGTAAATAAATGGTACTTTACCAAACAAAATAGCTTGTTATAGAAAAATAAACAACCATAAATATGAGGAGAAAATATATGGACTTGGAAATATACAAAAAAAAGAACTCATATAATGTTGTGGCAGAAGACACATATAACCCAATTTCAAAATGAATAAAAGATTTAAATAGATATTTCTTCAAAGAATACATAAAAATGACCAATAGGTATATGAAAGATCCTCAGTGCCCAAGAAAAATGTGAATCAAATTCACAGCAGAATCTCACACTTATTAGAATAGGTACTATCAAAAAGACCAAAGATAATAGGTATTGAGGTAGTATAGATCAAAGGGAACCATGCCACATTTTTTGGTAAAAATTTTGTACATTGTTGTACCCATTGTGGAAAACAGTGTGGAGAACCATCAACAGTTAGGTATAAAAGTACATTCAGACACATTGTATATATTCAAAGAAGATGAAAAATATGTTATTAAGACATCTTATTACCATCTTATTAAAAACCATATTCAGCACAGTTTTACTCACAATAGTGAATAAATGACTATGTGTAGATAAAATAATAAAAATGCGTTCTCTCTATGTGTATTAATTCAATATACAAGAATACTATTCTGCTTTAAGAAAGGAGAAACTGATGTTTGCCTGGATGAATCTGGAGGATCTTATGCAAAGTGAAATAAACTAGACACAGAAAGAAAAATTTTGCATAATCTCACTTATATGTGAACTTGCTGTTTTTTCTTCAAAATCAAATGCTGGAAATACAGAAATCAAAACAGTAATTATGGAAGTGGCGCTGTAGCTCAAGTGGTAGAGCGTTAGCCTTGAGCTGAAGAGCTGAGGGACAGCGCACAGGCCCAGGGTTCACGCCCCATGACCGACAAAAAAAAAACCAACAGTAATTATGAATGGTGGGCCATTGGGGAAACCTGTGGCTAAAATGCAGCACTATTTAGGATGAAGCAGTCTAGATATCTAGACATGAGAGCAGTAGGTATTAATGGTGTATTGTCATCAGGTCACATGAGTAGTTTTATAGCTGCTGGTACCTTGGACGGTGATGAGGAATGATTAACCATGATGAGATGATGGATTTGTTCATTTGTTTCACCAAAGTGACCACTTTTACTTTCTACATTTCTCCATAACATCATCTTAACTTGGACTTACAAAAGAAATTTTATTTTTACTATAAATATAAGTATTGAGAGTGGAAAAGGATGTTTTGAGCATAGACTGAAGGCAAAATATTAACCTAGACACCCAGTAACCCATTTTTTCAGATGAGATGTATAATATCAGATGGTTGGAGATTCTACACAACTCTTAAACCAAAAATTCAAGTGACATAGGAAACTCTTTCCAAGGGGTCACCTTTCCTCTCCTTCAATCCTTGCCCGTATAGAAGGGCACACACAGGGCAGGAAGATATAGAGAACTGCACACAGTGACACAAGGAGGACTAGAGGTGATCTTCCCTGAGCTAGTGGATTACTGCTGTACCATGAAGTATACTCAGTATTGCACACTTGTAGCCCAGCCCTTAAGTACCCTGCAGGTCAAGCCTGTCCTTCCATTAATCACCTTGAGTTATTTCTGTGATGTCTGCTTAAGTGAACTGAAATCCCCACACAGCTGGTCTATACCTCAATTTCTTCATGGGATGCTGGGATGGTGACATGGGTAGTCAATGTCACCACACCCAAGGGGACTGGCTGGAGTCTAGAGAGCATGAGAGCAGCATAGTGGTTATCAGTACCTGATGCTCACTGTCATCCTCATCTAGATACAAAGAATTATTTGTATCTAGTTCAGTCTCTCATTCTACACAAGATCCTGAGCTACTTTCAACAGACTTAGTTCCTGTGAATTATTGTAGCACAGATGATGCTTGTTGACTCAAATCAGAGAATGTAAGAATTATCCAAAGGATAGATTAGTGAATGAGAGATTGAACAGCTGGGTGAACTGGGAACCATAGCCCAAGAACACGGCTCATGGCCACTATTCTACTCTCAGCCATGAAGGCAAGGGGCTCTACCAGAACATTGGCATCAGCCCTCAGAGAGCCTTTAAGACCCTGAGGCACAATCTCTCTATGATAACACTTTCTCTTCATCATAGCATAATTCAATAATCAAAATTATTTCATTTTGTTAGCTATCTGTGTACTTCTTTACTATCTATCGCCTACCCTGAGATAGCAATATCTGAGAGCTAGAGTCTTTTCTGTTCCACCTTGTGCATCCAGTGCCTTTCCTGTGTAAGACCAGAGTTAGTGTTGCATGAATATGTGATAAATGAATAAATCCTTTTCTGCAGCCATGTGATCTAGGAGAAAAAGTCACCATTGTGACAGAAAATTTGCCTCTCCTCTCTCGTCAATGGTTGCCTACCATGTTAGCCTAGTCCTTTACACTTGCCTCTAGTTTCAGGTTGCATTTGCATTTTCAATACTGTGTCATCTTTTTTTTTTTTTGCAAGGCCAAGACTCCACCAAATGCTTTCACAGTTGAGTTATAATGAGAAATAATGTGCTGCGCCTCACTGGTGTCTTCCAATGAAGTAATCTTCCACTTCTTTTCATTTATTGTTTTCTGTTTTCAGTTTGTAAAACTTAAGAGCTTAAACATACATATGCCTTTCTACATTTCATTATCTTTTAAATAAACTTAATGATTACTCACAAAAGTTTGTCCAATGTGATATTTTGTAGAACCCTCTGGTGATATAGGACAAATGATGTGCAAAACTGTGAGTCCAAGAGACCAAAATCCTGACCCCTGACAGGCTTCAGATGTTTATGATAACTGATTACCAATGCCACATGAGCATTAACCTATATTTATTTTCAGTGTTAACTTTGAGCAAGATTGATAAGAAAAACATGTAGAAAGTCTACTAATGTTCCCTGCGCAGGAAAATTAACTCATCACTTTTTTTTTTTTGGACGTGATGTCCCATTCTTTTTGAGCAATGTCAATTTGCTTTTAGAATTTAGGCAATTGTTTTATAATGGAACCACCATAATTAGGATGTCTACCTCTAACATATGTGAGCAAATAGGATTCATCCTTACCGGTTCACTTCTGAGTCCTGCGATGGTGTTGTTGGTGGAAGAGAAGTATTTGCTGGGTGGGTGGCAGTGAAATGAACCTTGCCTGTGTATCCTGGGATATTTGCAGCACTAAAGAGTTAATAAGAGAATGAGGGGAAATTGAAATCATGAATTGTGAAATAGTCACAGTAACTAGAACCCAAATGTTAAAAACATAAAGGAGGATGCAGTCTAATTTTTTCTTCTGGGATTTAACAGGAAAACACAGATGCATAGGGCATGCTGACACACTTTACTATAAGGTGCAAAAAAGGCTTTTTTTCAAGCGCATATTGGGCTATTATTTTAAATTTCCATGTCTTTTACATCCATGACTCACTGTTGAGCTCAGTTTCATAAGGAAGATATTTGATCTTGATAAAACAATGAAATGATACCCCACACATAACTCTCACAATCACTTCAGCATTAATACACACACTAACATTCACAGTTGTGTTGGGTTTTGGCAAATGTCATCCTTCTTCCTGTGAATATCCTATATTCTTGTTTGAGATGGTTTTCTAATATTTCACTTTTTTTTGTAACTGAAGTTTGAAATCAGGGTCTTGTGATTGCTAGGCAGGTGTTCTAACAGGAGTCAGAAATTGAAAAAAGAAAGAAGATAGCTGGATCCCTAAATGCCCAGGCAAAGAGCCCATTGCCAAAGCTGAGATAGGCCAGATAACTGCAGAGGGCCTAGCCTTCACTTGGAGAAAAGAAGAAAGTCCCATTCAAAATAACATAATTAACATTAGGCTCATTATGGAACATAGTCTCAGATTAATTAGACCCCACTTCAGCATTCAGTTGTACTTTGGCCCTCCTTCCTGAGAGGCATTGAATACCTCCAATCTAAATGGGAGCACACAATGGAGGCACAAGAGAAAGAGAGAGAGACACACACAGAGCGAGAGACAGACAGAGACTGAGAGACAGACAGAGACAGACAGACAGACAGACAGACAGACACACACACACACACACACACACACACACACACACACAGAGGGAGAGAGAGAGAGAGAGATCCAATTTAGAGTTATGGAGGGAAAAAATCTCATTCAAGTTACCAAGTGGGAATCTGAGCAACCTCCCAGCTGGACACAGCTCAAAAAACTGTAGAACTATTCTCTCACAGTGGTAAAAGCCATAGGACTTCCCCCAATTCAGACCAGATCATTAATGGACCAAGAGCCTAGGACCTGCTATCCAACAGGTTATAAACAACCTCATCCAGTTTTCTCCCCAGATAATCTGACTTTTGGTTGCTAAAGGAAAATAAGAGGCCAATCACACCTGCCTGGAAACTCATCTTTGAATTATCAAAAGAAAGAAAAAACTGCCAGCACCAAAAAATTTGAACTATAGTACTCACAAATAGCACTCATGAAAGATTAGAACCTAGCCTTATTTTTTAGTAAAAATAATTTTAAAATTTGGGTTTACATGAGGAGAGTAAATGATATTCTTTTTTATTTTCCTCTGTTTTAATTATTTCAGTTTTCTGGTGATTGGTCTAAATATTCACATTATAATATTTTGGATTTTATATAGTCTTTTCCTTCTTTTATACTTCTTATATACAGCTTCTAATTTAACCTTTTGATATAATTACTTGACCTCTGAGTTTGATTCTGATTTTCTTATGTTTATTCATCTTCTTCTTTTGATATAGGTTCTCCCCACTAGACTCAGATTGGACTTTTGGTCCATCTGTTACAACCTCTTAAGTACAGGGATTACACATATGAGGTACAGTTCCCACCTGGCACTACCTCTGAGCCTGGGCCTGGGCACTATCTCTGAGGTTTGGTTCTTAAGTCTAGTTCTCTACCACTTGAGGCACAGTTCCACTTCCAGCTTTTTTGATAGTAAATTAAAGAGTCTCATGGACTTTCTTTCCTAGGCTGGCTTCAACCATGATCCTTAGATCTCAGCCTCCTCAGTAGCCACTGGAACCAGGAGACAATTGCTCTTAATTAGTGATTATGTGTTTTCATAATGGGTTTATTAACCACGATTGCTTCTACATCTATTCTTCTGTCTAAGTTAGCAGGAGGCCAGACCCAGTGATCTGAAGACAGTGAAAGAGTGTTTGACTATGGACTCAAAATCCAAATCCAATGGCAAGAAGCTACAACTCAATTCAATCACTACTCATTCCTGCCTAAACATTGCAATACTTCAAATGAACAAAAGATTTGGGCATCCAGTGCAGATCTAAACACAGAAACATAATAAATATTTTATTTAAAACAAGGAATTACCTCTCCCAAAACACCATACCAAAGGACACTAATTGTAGTTAAATGGCTGAAGTCAAGAAATTTTGAGGAATGATTGCAAGAATAACTAACAAAATTAAACATGTATAAACTCCTGAATTCAAAGGTAATACAAATAACAAGTTCAGATAGAATTCAAATAAGCAGCTGAATAAAATAAGAAAGATAAACTCAGGGTATGAAAGATAAAATTAATATGTAGACATCGTGAGAAAATTAAGTTAAAATCCTAAAAATGAAAATGTCAATAAGTTGAATAAATTCAGTTGAAAGCTTCTTTGGTAGACTGGGTCAAATTGAAGACAGAATATCAGGTCTTGAAGATAAAGTATATTGGAACATCATGATAATGGGAAAAACATGGAATATAAACAAAATATGTGATACCTCTAGGAAACCATTAAAAACCAACGAATACTGGCCATACTAGAAAGACAAGTGCCACAATTTAAAAGACTAGAACACATCCTTAAGAAAACAAGAATTTCCCAAATCTTGAGAACAGGATAGTTGTGTAGGTATAGGAAGCTATTAGGAAACTCAACAGATAGGACCAAAAGAGAAACAAAACATTAAATATATAAACAAAAAGGAGTATTGAAAAGTACAAGAGAGATGCTCCCAGCAACACACAAAGTATTGTTTACTTGCAGTAACAGCAGATTTCTCAACAGAGACTAAAATCAAGGAGGGCATGGAATCATGTATTTCAAGTCCTGATAGAAATAAATGCCAACCTAGATGATTGTATCTTGTAGAGATAGCCTTCAAATTTAATAAGAAAATTTCTAGATGTAAAAAAAGCTGAATTCCTTCATGACCACAAAACAAGCATTGAAGAAAATACTTAAAAGTGTCCTAGACACAGAAAATGGAAGACAAACACAATGATGAAAATATGGGAAAGAATAAAATCTCACTAGATAGAAAAGCAGAAAAGCAAATGAGGCCTCAAGTGGATCCAAACACTATGAAAACAGCAAAGTGGCAAGACTTAACTACATACCTCTCAGCAATAACTCTAAATGTTAATGGTCTTCATTCTCCACTCAGAAGACAGGCTAGTAGGTTGGACTAAAAAAGCAAGTTTCAACAATTTCTTTAAAACAAAAAATACATCTTCCTGGGAGAGGGAAACATGGCTTAACGTTAAAGGATGGTAAAAGATTCCAATCAAATGGAGCCCAGCAGCAAGCAGGAATAGCTATACTCATATCTGTCAGTGTAAAGAAGCAGAGAAGAAGTAGAACAGGCAGAAAAGAAGTTCACATTGACAAAGAGGCCAATCAATCAAGAAATGTTAGTGATTGAAAATATATGCCTTAAACACCATAAAACATATGACACACAAATAGACATACTCAGTTTCATAAAATAATACTATTCGAAATGAAAGCACAGATCCCAACACAATTATAGCCTGTGACTTCAAGACTCCAACTCACACTAACAGATAGGCCATCCATATAAACTGTCAAGAAAGTCACTTCAGAATTGAATGATGCTATAGGTCAAACAGACTTCACAGACACCACAGAACATTTCATGAACTGGAAAATTTATATTCTTTTCAGCAACATATAGAACTTTCTTCAAGATGGTTCAAATTTTAGGACACAAAGAAAGTCTTAACAGATAAAACCAAACTGGAAGAATGCCTTGTATTTTAACAGACCACAGTGAATAAGATAAGGAATCAACAGCAAATAACACTAGAGAAAATATTTAAATACATGAAACCGAAAGAATATATTGTTTAAGGACAACTAATGCACAAAGAAAGAAGGAAGGGCGGATTTGAAAAGTCCTAGAATCAGGAGTAGAGCTGTGGCTCAAGTCATAGAGCACTAACCTTAAGCAAAAGAATATCTGGGACAGCTCCCAGGTCCTGAGTTCAAGTCCCATGACAACAAAACATAAAAGTCCCAGAAGCAAATGAAAATGAAAACAAAACTTACAAATACCTTTGAAACACAGCAAAGGCAGTGCTAAGAGAAAGTTTTTTTCTATGAGCACTTACATAAATCAGTGAAATCTGAAATTAATAAATAATCTAATGATGTACTCAAGCTCCCAGAAAAAGAATCTCTAAACAATTAGCATAAAGTAGGAAATAATAAATACTATGACAGAAATTAATGAGGATTAAAAATGGATGGTGAAATAAAAATTGGTTCTCTGAAAATATTAGATCAACAAACCCTAAATCATATCAACCAAAATAAAGAACACTGAAATTAATAAAAATATGTGATTAAAAACTGGATATTACAAGAAATACATGGCAAGTATGGAGCCAAAAGAACCTTTCTATCCTATTGTTAGAAGTGTATCTTATTGCAGCCATTGTGGAAACCAGTATGGAGGCGCCTAAAACCTAAACATAGAACTATTTTATGACTTGCTGTTCTATTCTTGGGCATATATCTGGAGTATAATTCGACACAGAATAATGATACCTACCTACCTACTGCAGTTAGTACTACAGGACAGCCAACCTAAGAAATCGACCAAAGGGTCCAGATGCCCAACAACCAATGAATGGATTGATAGCTAATGGATAGATAGATAATAGACAGAAATAGATGATAGAAAGTTAATAGATCTATAGATACACATATACATAGCTGATAGATAGATACAAAAATATATAGATACATCCATACATAGATGATAGCTAGCCATGAAAAAGAAGTTATGCCATCTTCCAAGAAAATGGATAGAACTACATATCATAAGCCAAGCTACAAAGGCATTTTTACTCATGTATGAAGTTTAGGCATGAGACAATGATAATGATAA